TGGGTGACATGACCTTTAGCCTGGTTTGTTCCTTTTTGCACACCACACACAAAATGATTAAAGTGATAGGAAAGGCCCCCCTAAATCTACCTTGCCTGTCTCTAGCAAGCACATCATTGCTAGCATCACTCTGGCAGCCACTGATTATGATCAAATCCTCTGCGAGCTAGCAAATATTTAATGCAACTTGTTAGGCATGTTGGACACCTTACTACTCCCTATACCACCCCATGGCTGGTGTGCAATGTGTTCCAGCAAAAACAGTGTAAACCGAACTAGCAGGATATATCATCAATATAAATGGCTGCCAGGCTATGTACTGAACTAGCAGGATGCACCAAATGTGGTGCATCCTGCTAGTTCAGTACATAGCCTGGCAGCCATTTATATTGATGATATATCCTGCTAGTTCGGTTTACACTGTTTTTGCTGGAACACATTGCACACCAGCCATGGGGTGGTATAGGGAGTAGTAAGGTGTCCAACATGCCTAGCAAGTTGCATTAAATATTTGCTAGCTCGCAGAGGATTTGATCATAATCAGTGGCTGCCAGAGTGATGCTAGCAATGATGTGCTTGCTAGAGACAGGCAAGGTAGATTTAGGGGGGCCTTTCCTACCACTTTAATCATTTTGTGTGTGGTGTGCAAAAAGGAACAAACCAGGCTAAAGGTCATGTCACCCACACTGGTGCCACAGCCCAACATCAAAGGACCAGTGCGCTACTTTTTAATCATCATCAATGGAAAACTCAGCAGTGACCAGAGGATTGGAAAAGATCAGTCTACATGCTATTCCCAAAGAAGGGCAGTGCCAAAGAATGCTGCAACTACAGTACAATAGCACTCATTTCACAGGCTAACAAGATTATGCTCAAAATCCTGCAAGGTAGGCTTCAGCAGTATGTGGACTGAGAACTCTCAGAAGTACAAGCCGGATTTTCAAGGGGCAGAGGAACTAGAGACCAAATTGCTAACATACGCTGGATTACAGAGAAAGAGAGAGAGTGCCAGAAAAACATCTACTTCTGCTTCATTGACTACACAAAAGCCTTTGACTGTGGGGACCACAGCAAACTATGGCAACTCCTTAAAGAAATGGGAGTGCCTGAAGACCTTATATATCTCCTGAGAAATCTATATGTGAAACAGGAAGCAACAGTTAGAACTGGCTATGGAACAAGTGATTGGTTCAAAATTGGGAAAGGAGTACGACAAGGCTGTATATTGTCCTCCTGCTTATTTAATTTATGTGCAGAATACATAATGCGAAAGGCTGGACTGGTGGAATCCAAAACCAGAATTAAGATTGTCAGAAGAAATATCAACAACCTCAGATATGGAGATGATACCACTCTGATGGCAGAAATTAAAGAACCTCTTACTGAGGGTGAAAGAGGAGAGCACAAAAATGGTCTGAAGCCCAACATCAAAAAAACTAAGAGAATGGCCACTGGTCCCATCACCTCCTGGGAAATAGAAGGGGAAGATATGGAGGTAGTGACAGATTTTACTTTCTTGGGCTCCGTGATGAATGCAGATGGTGACAGCAGCCATGAAATTAAAAGACACCTGCTTCTTGGGAGGAATGTGATGTCAAACTTAGGCAGCATCTTAAAAAGTGGAGACATCCCCTTGCCGACAAAGGTCTGCATAGTCAAAGCTATGGTTTTTCCAGCAGCAATGTCTGGAAGTGAGAACTGGACCATAAAGAAGACTGCGTACCAAAGAACTGATGCTTTTGAATTGTGGTGCTGGAGGAGGCTCTTGAGAGCCCCCTGGAATGTAAGGAGAACAAACCGATCAATTCTAAAGGAAATCAACCCTGAGTGCTCACTGGAAGGACAGATCCTGAAGCTGAGGCTCCAATACTTTGGCCATCTCATAAAAAGAGAAGACTCCCTGGAAATGTCCCTGATGTTGGGAAAGTGTGAAGGCAAGAGGAGAAGGGGACAACAGAGGATGAGATGGCTGGAGAGTGTCATCAAAGCTACCAACATGAATTTGACCAAACTCCAGGAGGAAGCGGAAGACAGGAGGGCCTGGCATGTTCTGGTCCATGGGGTCACGAAGAGTTGGACACGACTTAACGACTAAACAACAACAACATTTATAAAGTTTATTAAGTACATTGAAATCCTGGACTTGTTTCCTCCAAAGTAAACCACCCTCAAAAAAGCAGTTATGTATAGGAGTGCAGACTTTTAATACACATTTTATACACTACATAAAGTGTATACATACATTTCACTTATTTGAAATGTAATGTTGGAAAAGAATTTTACAGATAGCATGTCTTGTCAGAGAGATAAGTAAAGGAAATTAAGTGTGGACTCTCACTAGAAGTTAAATAACCAAACAAAGAGTATTGTACTACAGTGGCATCATGAGAAGACAATCTCACTGGAAAAGGTAGTAATGCAGGAAAAAGTGCAATGCACCAGGAAAAGAGGAAGAATGCACATGAGATGGATTGACTCAATAAAGAAAGCCACAGTCTTTGTAAGACCTTTTGTTTGGTGTTGCAGTCAAAGCAGGATCAGGAGCATCTCTCTCTCTCTCTCTCTCAATCTCTCTCTCTCTCACACACACACACACAATTTTCAGCAATCAGTTGCTTCAGTTCAGTATGTCTGTTTCATTATATTTAAACAAG